CAGAGGCCCCTTCACCAGCCAGGCCTCTGAAGACTTCCTGTGCCCAAGGTGACTTCCATTCAGACTGCATCACCTCTGAGATGCCCACCCACATTCAGCTCGTCATCAGCGGTCAGTCTTTAGGGTGTCACCCACTGTGCTCAGCACCAATCAAATGAGTGGGACTTTAAAGACACTCCACCCCTCCATCAGAAACACAACTTTCAGCCAGAGAATGTTACCACACAATATCCCACTGCCTCTTTTTCTATGCCTCAAGAGCCATGGGAAGCACTTACGAGATTTCACCCTTACATCACACATATACACACATTAAAACACATACACACACACACACACACCACCACCCCTCCTAGTTCTCTCCTCCCAGCGGTGTAACAGACGTGATGTGGGGCTTCTCTCTGCCCTGTTCACCAGTCGACCATCTCTGCATGGTTCTTTGCACCTGAAATTGCTTTTGTAAACATCTTTTTCAAACACTGTTTGATAAAAACCTAAAGGCCCCTGCTGCAGCTGTTGCAGTAATGTTACCAGATGAAGTGAGTGTTTGAAAAACATGTCAGTTGTCTGTTTCTGCTGTATGTCGCAGCAGACTTTGTGGACATTAAACTAGAGTGTGGGTGGCATTAAAGTGTCAGGGTCGACAGCAATATGTCCCTTAGTACCCAGGCTTTGACGGGCAGGCTCCAAACTACCCTGTAATTGTATGTCCACGCCTGCTATTCAGAGGAAAAAGTAACACAAAAACAACAAAAAATTAATTGTGCAGCATGAGATTGTGAAGGGGTTGTGGGACGGGTGGGGGGGTTGATGTTTTCTGCCTCTCTCTGATGACGGTGGTGTTTCTACAGCATCCTTCTATCATAATGTGTGTATGTCATGTCTGAGCCTGGAGACAATAGGGGTTTAGAAACTTTGAACACCAGCCACCAGGCCGAATGCTGGTATATTTTGGCAGGTGCTGGTACACTTTTTGTACACTACTTCTCCACTGCCCCATTCGCCAGGTATTAATAGGAAGGGAAGGGCCTATCTGCTGAGAGCAGTCGAGAGACTGGAGCACATTCCACTATATAGAGGGGACAGGCAGGTGAGACTGATAGCGTTATGTTTTTGCAAGGAGATGTTCCTGCCGATTGTTTATAAAGGAAGAATTGAGTTTGAGATCGAGTCACCCTGAAACAGAACGACTGGCTTTGGCTTTTCAGTGGGAACACACTACGAAAGCTTCTTTCTCTGTGTTCACATGGGAAACGCTCCAAAATGTTAAAACCACAGATTTTCTCTCCTTTGCCTTGCCTTGCCTTGATAGCTATTTATTGTTTCTGCAAAAATGTACACCTTTTAATGTAAATAGTTGATAGAAAGATCTCTATGTCTATCAGCAAATGTATTTATTAGATATACTAAATATATAGATGAATATATAAAGTATTTAATTAGTCATAGCTTATGTTCTTCTTGTGAGGTTTATTGAGAGTTTCCCATGTGTAGTTTGTTTGCACACCCTAGTCAATCCACACAATATTTAGAGATGTCTTTTGTGCCTCAAAGCTTTTGTGTCTGGCACGGTTCTTGCAGGAAATGCAATGTTTAGTTATTCTGTGGTTGATTCTAATATTTTGCTGTTTTCAAAGCCGTCTGGCCCTTTAATGGTGGGAGAATAGGACAAAAAAAAATCTGTAAAATATATGAAAATATGACTTATGAAAGTGTGAGAAGCTGGTGGCCAGATTGAGGGTAGTGATGATCCTTCTGGCAGAGCTGTGTTGCCTGTTCGCCCCTGTCCATGCCTAGGAACCTCAAACAAAATGGCTGCTCTTTTCCTGTGAGAGATTAGCAAATCGTTTGGTTCAGAATCATCACAGGCAGGGAGAGGATCACAGCTTTATGAATGTATATGTCCTCAACCCTGCAGTGTAGCAGCAACAAGCCAGCGGAACCTCCCCTGCTGTTGCATCCACCATTTGTAAATCTCACTTAAAAGCATGAAGATGGTACTCCCCAAGATATATATAAAAGAAGGACAAAACAGATATAGGATTGTTTAATCTTTTAAGTGTGGGATTCTGCTTCCTTTTTTTTTTTTTTTTGTCAAACAACCCTTTTTGAGCGGAGAGGAACTGTAACTACAAGGTGGACTAAGGGGAAATACATTGAAAAGTAGGCGTGAGTGGGTAGGTGCGTTCACTGTAATGCCATCTGTTAGTGCGTGCATGTGTATACAGTACATGACTGTGCGTGTGCATGTGTTTATTTCGTCACTGTCTTCAGAGAGAAATTATTTGGGGTGGTACAGGACGGGTGCTTTAAAGCAATTATTTTCTGTTCATTTGTTTACTTGTAAAATGCAACAGACATGTTTTAACCTAAGCATTAATGTCTGTCCATGGGGAGTCTGTTTCCTCCTTTCTACCATCCATGGCCTGTTGTCTGTCTTCTGCCAATCTGTGTGTGTGCGTGTGTGTGTGTGTGTGTGTGTGTTTGTTTGTTTGGCTGATTCCTTCATGCATGCATGTGTTTGCACATGCGCCCATGCGTGAGCGTGACTCCCTCTTCCACATGCTGCGTTGGCATCCATGGTGCAGGCGAGGTGGGTGTGTGTGTGTGTGTGGCGGGGCAGCGGATGTGTCAGTGCTCACATTCAGCTACTGTTCCTCAGCTCCGCTCTCAGCATCTGCCTTAAGAAGCAGGTGTGGAATCTCTCAAAGAACAAGACTAGTCAGACCAGTTATTTAAGCTACAGGTTTCAGCATCAGGAGAAATTGATGTTCATGTGTATATCTAGTTTTTGCACATTTTGTCCCTGCTAACAAAGTGGCTAGTAATGCCTTAAAACAGACACAAATGTATGACCTAACAGAAGTATATGGTATGTATGAGTGTATATGATATATTGACATGTATTACAAAGGTCATTCCTTTGCATTGTGATGGCGTGGTGCTTTCGTGCATTACACAGTACACATACAGACACATAGCTCCATGAACATCATCATCACATGGCGCCTTTGTCCACAGAAAGGTCAAATGTCTATCTGTTGAACAATAGCATAAAGGTGGACATTTTGTGCACTTATGCTTTTTAAGAAATGGAGAATTTGGACACTGTCTTCTAAAGAAATCACTTCAAATGTGGGGGGGAAACCCTTTGAAAATGAATTGTGGAACAGCAATTTATATTTGCCAGTGATATTAAAGGAATAAAACATTTGAAATCCTTGTTTACCTACCAATCACCTGGTCGCTGTTTTCATCTGTGGTTCAAGATGCCAGAACCTCCATAATAATTATATTCCAAGAACAAATGAAGGCTTTTACTAAGGAGCCCAACCCCTGCATGATCACAGCCATCTGACTGTTGCTCAATAAACAACACACAAAGCCAGAGAAAGAGGAAAAAAAGAGGGGGATGGGCATCTTGAAAATCATCCCGCATCCCTTCTGGAGCTGTCTGACTGCTGACAGGGAAGGGAGCCAAAGAAAAGAGTTGTATTTATTTATTTTGCTAGCACAGCCCTCATCAACTCCAGTGCTTTTTCAATATAATGTATAATGTCTTGGACTAGTTGTTTTGCCTGACTGAGCTCCAATAGATAATAGCTCTGGGTGAAGGTCATGTCTTCACCACCACCTGCACCGACACCCGAATCCAATCCAGTGTTTTACTGGAACATAAACCACATTAGTGACTGACAAATCACAGATCAGCCAAGCAAACCAAAGAGAGTCTGATATGATAGAATCATTATTTAATGGTACATACATTTAGTGTGAACTTCATAGACACTGGGTCCCAACCTTAGAGGCCAAATGGGTCACACAATAAATCTAATGTAAAAAAGTAAATTGAACCCCAACCTCTGAAATAATAAGCTATACATTATTAACAGTGAAAACAGTTCATTTTGTGTAAACATGAGCCACACAGTGCTTTCTTTAGCTAACTTTGGCTGTGCCTGGTCAAATGAAGTTTACAGCATTTTAATCAGGTGCCTTGTCAGAGGTAACCTCTCAGTAGTTGAAGACAAATGATAATGGTCATATATTAACCATTGCTGAAAGAAGAGCTGTAGACTGTTGTCATCCTGTTTTGTAGTGAGGGAGGTACAGCAGGGTCAGGGCTCTCACGGAAAGACTTGACAGAATCCCAGCAGAATGGACTATCTGAATGGCTACAGAACTCTCTGGCTGATTTCTGTTGTGATCACCTAATATAAACTCAAGGCCACTGCCCCCTCCTCCTACAAATACAATACTATCTATCTAATTATCTATCTACTGTATCTATCTATCTCTCTGTCTGTCTGTCTGTCTGGCTCAGTGTCAGTGTTGGTGTAAGATAATCCGTCATCCTACTGTAAAGCACTTTCCATAAAAGTGCCCAGCAAAAGACACACCTTACATTTAATCTGCACATGAAACAAGAGACAGACACTGCAGTGCAGCTTTGCCTGAGCCAAGCACAACACACTCCGGCTGACACAACCTACAGTACCTGGTGATGTATGTATAGAAATATTGTTGACAGAGCTGTGTAGGTATGTGTGCTGTTTGTCGGGTGAGTGTGAAGGTCACAGTCATACTCACCCACCTAACTTGTTAGATTAGTCTGATCCAGTAGCTTATCCAGGGCACACACCCAGCTTACCTTGACCTTCGCCTCCCAGGACCGCCCCTACCAGTCCCGCAAACAAACACACACACGCAAGCTTGTATTTAGACACGCAGACAACTACTACAAAGAACACACCCATGACACACACAGACAGGCATCACAGTCACACACATGCTGTGTGTATGCTGTGGAAACACATAGCAACACCATTCCATTAAGGTGAGCCAGTACCACGGTTTTGGTATTGTGCATGCTGGCTCATGGCTTACTGAGACACTTGTGTATTGGCACTGAGCCATCATTAAAGCAATTTGTTACTCT